TTTGACGAAATCTCATGTATGATAAACTTTTCAGGCTTTAGAATCACTATTATAAAGTCATATCTGATTATCTTTCTCGCATGAATCTTTATTTTGTTTGCGTGATGCTCTAAAAAAAAGTCGAAAATTCGAACGGGTTATGATAATTAACTAAGAGATTATCTCTTTTAAATTATATAATATCAGTATAAATGAATATATAATTTTCTACTATATAGAAGATTACATGATTATACTTTTTTTGATATTTTTTATATGTAGCATATTCTAAAAATTTTTAGTTTATACTATATGTAGAATAACGATATATATTATAACTCTGCCACTCTAATTTAAAGTTCAATTCAATTATAGGATTTTCATACAATTTACTTTATCTATATCGAATTAACGTTAACAATATCAAAAACCTGTTCTACTGTAGTTTCCGGCAGTACAAAAAAATCAAGCCAAATAAAGTTGCAGATCTTATTAAAGATATCTAGTGATGGGAAGATGAAGCGTATAAAAAAATTATGTATTTTGCCAAATTTGGAACTAATATAAAATTTATTCTAATTTAAGTGCGTAGTATGAAAATTTTAGAAAAACTGGTTTTTTGACTTTACTTATATCAGATATCAAGATAAATAATATTTGTAGCATATTCTAAAAATTTTAATTTATTATGGGTAATTCAATCACTCAATTAAATTACTATAAATAATATGATGATCAGATATCCGAATACATAGTACTGTAAACCAGGTTAACCAGTTTAAAGTATTTACTCATTTTTTATTTATTAATCTAATAATCTATATTCATAATCGCAAATAATGATACATAAATCATATTTAAAGTAACAAGTTACAATGGTTCGGACTATAGTTGTTAGACGAAACCATGTGATGATAATCATCACTTGTCATAAAATACCAAGACCTAAAAATTTAATCTAGTTTTTATTAAATAATGATATGTGACATTTAGCATCTCATGTTTCGTCTAACAACTATAGTTCGGACTGATAAAAAAAAATGCCTCGCAAAGATCATCATAAAAAAACCCAAAATAAACTTAATGTGAAGCTTCGTTCAGATAATATAGATGTTAGTGAAATAAAAAAGATCAGATATTAGGCAATTAGAAGACCTATGTAATGAAATTGGAGAAATTTGTGATAAAGATTTTGTAAGTTGTTATAATATTCAAACTACATCAAATAATATAGGTAAAGAATTTTTTTTAACTAATACTATTATAAATAAACCGAATTCTCTAAATTTAATACATTACTGTAAATTAATAGTATACAATTCATTTGATGATGCTCTTAATGCTTCTGAGGAAAAAATAACTGAGATAGTTGAAGATGGTAGAGAACAATTTCCACCTTTAGTTCGATCACGACGTTTTTATGATGTAAACGAGAAAGAATTTGATACTGATAAATTTAATTTTTAAAATGGTTGTTAATTAACATTGTGTGAAATTATCTCTTTTGAATGAATATAAAATTTTGTAATTTTTGCAAACATTGAATAAAATAAAGTAACCCGAATAAAGTTATTTTTCATGGATTTTTAAAATCTTTTGCTGAGCAATTATTGCTATGTAAAATGAGTTTGTCGACTCCTGGATATTAAGGCAGATATTCTAGGGCAAAATAAATATAAAAAAATACTCGTTAAATATGTACGAGATTCGACATGCCCACATGGGCGTTATTTAGAACAATGACCCGAATTAGGCTTAACATGGGCCAAAATTGCGTAAATTTTTGTTTGAGTGATGTCAAAAAATATAATTGGAATTCAATATACGTATCAATTCAATAGAGATAAACCAAAATTGGCACTAATTTAATGCCCAACATAAAAGCCACTCTAATTTAAAGTTCAATTTTATTATAGAAATTACATGATTTTCATACAGTTTACTTTATCAATACTGTATATTTAACGATTTCGATTCAAGAATGAAAACCGGATTACATGCAAAAAAGCCTGTTCTTGTTGTAATTCCAGCAGGCAATATAAAAAATTATAGTACAAATTATTGAATATAATTGAAAAACATAAAATTTTTTAAAACCTAAATAGTAATATCAATAAAGTAAATTTTAAAATTAATATTTTAAATTTTGCTTAAATAAATAAATTACAATAACGATTAATATTATACTTAAGTTGACTTAACGTTAGCGACTATAATAAATTTATACACTTAATAGTTTTAACCCTTCTATAAATAGTTACGATTGTTTGTTCGTGAGAATTCGAGACATATGATTCTACGGCCCCATGGGTCCGCGGAATCATGTGATCTTAAAGTAATTGGAAATCCGTTAAAATATTTCAAATAACATAAAATGTAAAGCGCCTAAAACTAATATTCGGTCAGATTACTTATACCAATTATAAGTAATGTAATTTTTATCACACAATTCCATGGCCTTTGATTCCTTTATTAGCTGCCAGCCTTAAATATTTTTTACCTTTAACTTGTCATACTGACTTAAAATACCAGTAAGATATATAATAAAATAAAGGTGAACTTACCATATTTTTAAATTATTTTCCTACTCATGTTCACAAATTATCTTCATAAATTGATATTCAAGGACTAAATAAATCTTTGATTGTAGCTACAGTCCTTCAAACCATTTGTTTGATTAACTAATTGAAAATTTTTCAATGATTTGACTAAAAATTAAAATATAACTTCATGCAATAATAAAAAGTTCGTAAATTCTTTTAATAAATTTGATATGGTTAAAATATAAAACAGATCAATAAAATCGATTTAACTAATAATTTTATAAAAAAAAAAAAAAAAAGAAAATTAGAATAGTCCAATTTAATTAGTGTGTATAGATTGCTGAATTGATATAATATACTTGGCGATAGGACTGACTGACAATACAAAAATATGTAATTCTAAATTGTGCATTAATACTTTTTTAATATTTATTTGACTTTTTTTTTTTAACTGTATTTTCACATTTAATCGGAGAGAATTTTTTATTCATAGTGTTACCTTTATTTATATCCTGACCTTATATCTCCATTCTTGTCTTTCATTTATAATTAAATTATAAATATTAAAATGTTTGTTGAGCTTAACACGATCAGTTGAGCTTAGCCAAACTGGAATTAATTCCTCGTTTAATTGTATTAACAACTTAGTGGTGGGTGGATGTTTAATCTATCCCTTAAACCGTTTCCCGTACAAATTTGTTATAAAATTTTTTTAATATAAATGCATTAAAAGATATTACTTCAACTGAACGCAAAATAATTATTTGCCATTTCAATGAACTAGATGGATATATTGAACAAATAGAACAGGAACATATGAGAGAAATATAATGATTATTATAAATAAATATATATTGAAGTATAATTATTATTTTCGGATATTTAAACAATAATTTTTTTTTACATTGAATTGTACTATAATGTTTTAGCTTTAGAATTACTATTTACCAGAGTTACTAATTAATTACTAATTAATTCTATTAAGATAATGCTTACCAGAGTTATATATTAATTCTACCAAAATTATGCTTACCAGAGTTACGAATTAATTCTCCAAAATTATATTTACCAGAGTTACGAATTAATTTCTAATTAATTCTATCAAGATAATGCTTACTAGAGTTATATATTAAGTCTACCAAAATTATACTTACCAGAGTTACGAATTAATTCTACCAAAATCATGTTTTATCAGAGTTACTAATTAATTTCTAATTAATTCTATCAAGATAATACTTACCAGAGTTATATATTAATTCTACCAAAATTATGTCAGAGCTACGAATTACTTCTAACAAAATTATGTTTAACCAGAGTTACGAATTAATTTTTAATTAATTCTATCAAGATAATGCTTACCAGAGTTATATATTAATTCTACCAAAATTATGCTTACCAGAGCTACGAATTACTTCAACCAAAATTATGTTTTACCAGTTACGAATTACATCTACCAAAAATGTTTACCAGAGTTACAAATTAATTCTACCAAAATTATATTTACCAGAGTTACTAATTACTAATTAATTCTATTAAAATAATGCTTACCTGAGTTATATATTAATTTTACCAAAATTATGCTTACCAGAGCTACGAATTACTTCTACCAAAATTATGTTTTACCAGAGTTACGAATTAATTTCTAATTAATTCTATTTAGATAATGCTTACCAGAGTTATATCCCCTAACTAATGAAGAAATGCAAATTATTTTTAATCATTCACAACTTTCTCGAAATAACCCTTGTGGGCTTTTATATAGAGTGTTTCTATGGATTGGATGCATTACAGCACGACGGGGTGGCTCTTATTATAAAATTAAATTAAAAGATTTAGTTTCACATGATGATGGTGGATTTGATTTAGTAACAATCCATGATTACAATTTTATACTTGGCCTCAATAAGGAATTCAGGATTATTTTTCTCACGAGTTCAGGAGGCTGTCACCACCTGTAACAATATAATTTCCCAACATATAACTTCAGCAAGAACTAACCTTGGCCAACTTTAATTCTGGATTATTTAGAGAGCATGCGATTTCAGTGATTTTTCAATTTTCAAACAATTAATTTGAAATAAAAATAAAAGTTACTGTAAAATCCGGGTACCTCTATATGGGTTATGCATTAGTCAGCGATTGTACTATATGGGTTATGCATTAGTTAGCAATTGCATATTTAAACATTTTGTCTAAAAAAATTTCTTTTTTAAAAAAAAAATTTTTTAATCCGTTTTTTTTTTTTTATTTGAAAGTATTAAGTGCATTGAATATTAACGCTCTTTCATTCATTTTTTAAACCGTTCGTTCATATTCAAAGTTTGTGCTCATTGCCTTGAGCTCTAGGGCTTTGTCTTAATGGCTTGGCAATTGGGTAGACTTTTTTTCTTTGACTTATAACGTCATATATGTGAAGTGTGCCTTATTTCTTTGAGCAGGACATCGGCTCTAGAGTAGCTCTAGGGCTACCTTAACGGCTCAGCAATTTGGTTTGGACCTCTTTTCCATCTAAATTCTTTTTATTTTTCTTTAAATACCTTTAAATTCTTTCTCATGGCATCAAAATATTTATGGGTGATATACCCGAATTAATGGAAGCATAAAATTAGTATAAGAAAAATTTTTAATCAACATATTTAAAATCGTCATATGTAATTTAAGAAACTAAAGGTAAATCAGTTGATATCACTCTATTGCTAAATTTTTAATCAACGTATTTTAAAATTGTCACGTTTATATAGTGACTAAAAATATTAATTATAATTTAAGTAAATTATCAAAATCATAAGGTAAATCAGTTGACATCACCATTAGTAAATTTTTAATCAAAGAGACTCGACATCAATTTATTAGTTTGATGTGATCATAGTAAAATTGAAAAATAAAAATATACATAAGCGTACTAGAATACTTTGTGCTAGTGTCAAAAAACCTGTACTTTTATCTTTAAAAACAATGTTTGAAACTATAGAGGACAATGAAGAGATTATTAAAGCCTCAATTAAACTAATTTGGAAGGCGACTAATGGAAAAGTTGTTAATATCACTTTCGATGACCCAATGCTGTCAGCAAAAGTTGTCTTAGATAATGACACTAGTAAAATTATAATTTTGGATGAACCGGAAGCAGCTCTGTTAAACAAAAATAATTATAAAAAGATAAGAAATGAATTAGTGGGAAGAAGTTCTATTGCAATTGACGAGGAGATATCTTAAATAGTCAAAAATTTTTAATACTCTCAAAATAAAAACTTGAAAATCTGAGCCCGGGGGAAATCACTAATTAAGTTTTTATTAATAAGCATATCAGTTATTTACTTATGGGTTTCTAAGTCTACATATAATTTTACTTGATGATGATGCATATATTGAAAAGCCAACATACAATAACAGATAACGATAATTAAAATTTTTGGGAAAATTTAGCCACAACCGCCACAACCTCCACAACCTCCACAACTTCCACCACAACCGCTACAACTACCACCACAGCTACTGCCACAGCTGCTGCCACAGCTGCTGCAAATGCAATTGACTAGTACAGAGATTAATATAAGTTATTTGGTATTACCGTTACTATAAAATGAAAGTCATTTAATAGATTCAGTGAAAAGACTTACGAACTGTTGCAATGTTTTCGTGCTCTGATAGACCACATGAGCCGAGCTGGGGCCTTTAGCAAAATAGAAATTTATATTCACAAAGTTGAAATGAATATTTTATATGATTTGAAAAATTAGTATGTCATTTTGAAAGATTCATATTAATTACTGAATTAAATAATATATAGTTATTGGAGAATTATTTGTAAAATAATTCATTAGGAGTTATTGGCTAGCGTAGCATACAATAACGGTTTTATCCGATGGTTTACGACGATTGTGCTTCTAAATGACTCGAGTTTTGGTAGTGATTACATAAACTGCCAAATAACGAAGTTATTTGGCAGATGACATATCACTGCCAAATAACTTGAGTTATTTTGGCAGCACTATCATAGTAAGCTATCGGATAATGTTATTTACTTACATTACAGATAGTACCATGTCTAAGTCTAACTCTTCCATTTTTTCCCTGACATTCTTCACTTTCCAGATGAGGTAGGCACCATAGAATTTCAAATATGTCTTTTTTTTTTGTATTCTCGCTGTGTAATTTGATGGATCTTCGATGGTATAAGTTTCCTGATATTTTTCATACCAAGCTTTAGCAGTGAGAATAAGAGCTTCCTTAAGTGTTGGTTTAGGGATGGTATCATCATGATTAATGATTCTATTCGCTAGTTTAGATGTGAAACTGCGATACAATGGTGGATATAACATGTGTGTATGCCATCCAAGGTCAATATCTAATGTGGGAACATGACACTTGCCAGGACTATCCTTCATCAAGAGAAAAAATTTGTAATACCGAACTGTCGATTGATTCAAAAAGAAGTTATTATTAACCCACGAGCGTTCGACCATCTTATTTGTGAATTCTCGTTGGCGTAGCACAGCATCAATGAGATCGATTGAGAATGGAAATGGAATATCTTTATAAGAAGAAATGATCCTGGAAATAGTTAATTGGCGGATATTTTTAAGTTGTTTTTTTCTACGAAGACGTTTCGCTACGCGCATAATATCAGATAATACTACGTCTCAATGAAATTTCTTCAGATAAATTTTCTTTTCAAAAATTGGTTCTGAAAGTATTTTAAAATTTGTTTCCGAAAATAACATGGAGCATTCTTTTAAAGAAATAGCAGGTCCATATTCTCCAGTCCGCGTATTCAACAAGGTACCACTACAAAGATAACAAGAAAGAAATAAGTATCTAAAAACGTATCGCGCTTAAGAATCCTGGTTACTATGTTAATAGATGTGCATACGCTACTATAGGTTTTTGTTCTATTTGAAATTTCACAATATCGTCGTAAAACCTCTTGGCACTTAATGTGTCTGCAGATAGCTCAACACTGCAGTTAGCACAATATTGATTCATTGATTTTTCTTTCATAATTTTCACGTAAGAATCCCTAATATATGTGTCATAAGAAGTTTTATATTAAAAAAAATGTCATGCGTGTATACGTATATAAGTGCTGCCAAAGGAAAACTGTAAACAATGCTTTTTGAATATTTACTTCAATACAAATATCTTAAAATCAAGCAACTATGCACTTATTATTTTAATATCATTTGAATCGTCTTAATGAGATGATTCGAATAATGTTAAAGGCTAAAGTGTTCTATTACTTGGTTTCAAGATATTTTTATTAAAAAAAAGCATGACTTACAGGTTTTCCCTTAGCGTCGTTCATATAATGTCATCATTAATTCTAAACCCTTTTTTTAGTTGAAAACGTAATGAAATGTAGTGTTAAAAATAACTTACGATTTAATTTTATTAGAAGTGTTACACCACGGACAAATGATAGTAAATTCGCTTTTATCACTTGTGTCGAGAACCCAAGGAGTACCTGTAAACTCTTCCCAGATCTTCTGAGACTTTTTGTCAACAAAATTAGATCCAGTATTCCATATATCATTCTAAATACAGCAATACAAGAAATTATTAGACAAAATATTGTGAAGAAAATAAATGGTTGGTGCAATATCTATAATACCAGCTTCTGTAGAGGAAAGTTGAGTTTTAATAAAGTAGGATAAAGTCGTAACATATCTTCATAATATTTAAATGGAGAGAGGCAATGCGCATGCCATATATAACAGACATCTAGAAAACAAAATTATATAGATTTATATAAACTTTAATATATTGATATATTGTATCTACATTCTAAAATTAATTACCGATAGGAGGAATGGAAATAAAATCCTTTTTTTCATAATTTTCACTGTATTTCTCTAGAAGTTTCAACCATAGAATATACCTCTCTTGAGCACGCAAGAAATAACGCATGTCCATTAGGGGAAAATTCTGTTCCAAAGCTTTAAAATTGATAAGCAGATTAAGATGAGCATTCAATGTTTCTGAGTTCACAACACCATCATAATCGAGAGAATCAGGTATTTTTTGAATGGGTGTAGGTGTTGGAAAGACGGATGACTTATATGATAGCAAGCTAGACATCATTTTAATATTATCACATTATGTGGAAATAATTCTCAGTGCCTTGGAGATTCTCAAAAAATAGGTTTATATGGTCTTTTTGTTTGCTGATACTCACCAAGTAAAAGACTTATTAGGCATAACCTTATATTTAAAATACAAACGTCTGTACACTTTTGTCATCATCATTTGTGTTATATGTTTATGAACCTTACTCATAAAACTTTACCCATAATATTAAGAAATAGAAATTGTTTATGATTAGTTTCATTGTGAATAGTTGATTTTAATCCGATCAAAAGTACAGTACTATAATACCTATAACAGTAGATCATCAGAGCATGAGTAAAGTTTGGTTTTATCGGTTGATCAGCAAGGATTTTGATTGGCAAAAATCAAAGATCAACTTCATGTTACCCAAAATTGGAGGTCGGCTAAAGCGGTGCGAAATTTATAGTTACCTTTTTGATTCAAAGGAGGGTTTTTTATATATAAACATCAAGAATGCAATTATGCAGTATGTTGATCATATTGAATTAGGGTTGTCTAAAGCCGTCAAATTAGAGAACGCCTGTAGATCTCCCACAAAACATTAATTAATGAACGTGACTTAACCCTAATCTAACATAACCCTAACCCCTAACCTTAACATCCCAATTGGATAAAAATCACGAGGGGGGAAATTATTTTGTGGGAGAGCTACGACACTAAATTAGAGCCTAATGTCACGGGCAAAGAAGGATCTTCGAAATTGGCGCAGCAAAAACCATGATGGAAGAAATCTGGACAACAAAATACTGGTTTATCGGTTGAGGCTTATCGGCCGAATGAAATATATAAACAGGTAATTAATTAAATTAAGGCTTGAAGATAGGATGAACCCTCGGCCGAACTAGAGTCATAACCAACGTGAAATCCGAAGAACCTGAACGCGAAAAAAGAGAAGAGCGAAGAACAAGAAACTGAAGATTAAATCAAGAACTTGCAATAAGAACTATTGCAAGTAATTAGGCAAAGCCATTGGATTTTTCTTGATTCATGTTGTAATTATCTTTGTAAGCCCCTACGTTAGAATAAGTTTCCCCTAATTTGTTAAAGATATAATAAGTTTTCCCTAAGCCCCTCTTGAATTCGTTAAGTTAGCAGAAGATATAAAAGCACTGCGATTTCGCTCATGTAAAAGGACATCCTCCGGGATTCCAATAATTCCTTCATAATACCCTTAATAAATCACCCTGATAAATTCTTTTGAATAAAATAAATTATTGTCAAATCACCAACGTCACGCCTCTGGCGAGTTGCCATATATTGTAACTTCATATATTTTCGTGTATAAACTGATTAAACGTACAATTCACCCCGTAACACTAACATTAGTGTATGAGAGTGAAAACCTAGAAGTGAGTATTTGATCCCTAAAAAGTTATGATTGGAGTCTTGGTAATTTTAGTACGTAAACAGTGATTCTACATTACTGAAATTATGCAAAACGCCAATCATAATTTTTTAGGGCAAAATATTCACTTCCAGGTTTTCATTAATTAATGTGTAACATTAACGGTTCCTCCTGTTGTTCTCATATAGTAATAGTCAAAACCACACATCCTCATTTTAATTTAAAAGGAAATGTGGCGGATCACGAGTAAGAGTGCATCCAATAAGAAAGCCGTTGCATGTTTATCCATAAATTTTAATTGATTTGTGGTATGCCGACAAAAAAGATTAGAGGGAGTTAAATCAACTATCCCAAATTAAAGTTTTAGGGTCGAAAATTCGATATTATCTATAGTAAGTTACGTAAGTGATGCGAAACTCTAAAGTAGGTATACACTTGCATTTAATGATTTAAACGACTAAACCAGATTCATATTCAAAAGTAAAATGGATTATGATAATTCGATTCATCATAAAGAATCAACTAACTTAGACATTTATTACCTTGGATACAATTATCAATATGGAATTGGAGTTCAAAAGGACGAACATAAGGCATTTGTTTGTTATAAAAAATCTGCAGAGATGGGTAGTGCTAAAGGAATAAATAACGTTGGTTATTGTTATGAAAAAGGAATAGGAGTTGGAAAGGATGAACATAAGGCATTTATTTATTATCAAAAATCTGCAGAGATGGGTAATGCTAAAGGAACAAATAAAGTTGGCTATTGTTATGATGAAGGAGTTGGTGTTGAAAAAGATAAACAAAAGGCATTTACTTATTATCAAAAATCTGCAGAGATGGGCTATGCTCTTGGAATACGTAATGTTGGACATTGTTATGAGAAAGGAATTGGAGTTCAAAAGGATGAACGTAAGGCATTCATTTATTATCAAAAATCTGCAGAGATGGAGGATGCTAATGGAATAAATAATGTTGGATATTGTTATGAAAAAGGAATTGGAGTTCAAAAGGATGAACATAAAGCATTCATTTATTATCAAAAATCTTTAGAGATGAATAATACTAAAGGAATAAATAATGTTGGACGTAGTTATGAGAAAGGAATTGGAGTTCAAAAGGATGAACATAAGGCATTTATTTATTATCAAAAATCTGCAGAGATGAGAGACGCTAATGGAACAAATAATGTTGGATACTGTTATGAAAAAGGAATTGGAGTTCAAAAGGATGAACATAAGGCATTCATTCATTATCAAAAATCTGCAGAAATGGGTTGTACACCTGGAATGCGTAATGTTGGACATTGTTATGAGAAAGGAATTGGTGTTCAAAAGAATGAATATAAGGCATTCATTTATTATCAAAAATCTGCAGAGGTTGGAGACGCTAATGGAATAAATAATGTTGGATATTGTTATGAAAAAAGAATTGGAATTGAAAAGGATAAACATAAAGCATTCATTTATTATCAAAAATCTGCAGAGATGGGTAATGCTAAAGGAATAAATAATGTTGGCTATTGTTATGGTGAAGGAGTTGGTGTTGAAAAGAATGAATATAAAGCATTTACTTATTATCAAAAATCCGCAGAAATGGGTTTTGCTCTTGGAATACGCAATGTTGGACATTGTTATGAGAAAGGAATTGGAGTTCATAAGGATGAAGATAAGGCATTTATTTATTATCAAAAATCTGCAGAAATGGATTGCGCTCCTGGAATGCGTAATGTTGGACATTGTTATGAGAAAGGAATAGGAATTCAAAAGAATGAATATAAGGCGTTCACTTATTATAAAAAATCTGCAGAGTTAGAGGATGCTAATGGAACAAATAATGTTGGATATTGTTATCAAAATGGAATTGGAATTGAAAAGGATGAACATAAGGCTTTCATTTACTATCACAAATCTGCAGACATGTGTCATGCTCTCAGAACATATAATGTTGGATATTGTTATCGAAATGGAATTGGAGTTGAAAAGGATGAACATAAGGCTTTCATTTATTATCGAAAATCTGCAGAGATGGGTTATGCTCCTGGAATACGTAATGTTGGACATTGTTATAAGAAAGGAATTGGTGTTCAAAAGGATGAACGCAATGCATTCATTTATTATCAAAACTCTGCAGAGATGGAGGACGCTATAGGAACATTTAATGTTGGATTTTGTTATCAAAATGAAATTGGAGTTGAAAAGGATAAGCATAAAGCTTTCATTTATTATCACAAATCTGCAGAGATGGGTCATGCTTTGGGAACATATAAAGTTGGATATTGTTATAAATTTGGGATTGGAGTTGAAAGGGATGAACAAAAGGCATTTGTTTATATTCAAAAATCAGCAGTTATGGGCCTTCTTCCAGCAATAAATGTTGTTGGATATTGTTATCGAAATGGAATTGGAGTAACAAGAGACTTACAAAAATCTAATGAATGGTACCAGAAGTACGTTTTTTTTTATGCTGTCATGATAAAATTATATGTTTCTTTAATAAATGTAATTAAAATAAATTATTAGAGGATAGAAACAAATATCAAGTAATTATTGATTATTCTTATTTGTCAAATCGTTCAAATATAACTTAACTATAATAATTAATTTTTGTTAGCAAAGAATAGGCGAATGTTTGATAATTTAGATATTGATGAAAATTTAAAAGAAATATTAGTTGAAAGCGAACATACATTATCTTGGGTTCCTTATAATGAATTTGAAAATAATAAAATTATAGGAGAAGGTGGGTTTGCAACAATATCTTATGCTGAGTGGACAGATAATGACGGCCAGCCTGTTGCACTTAAATTATTTCATAATTCAAAAGAGAATAGTAAAGAATTTGTGAAAGAGGTATTTTTATTTATGTGCTAAGGAAAGTGTCATTTATCACCTAAGGCCACGCAAGGCTAAATAATTGGTTCTCGTCAGGATTGAGCAATCGGACAAATGGCACTGGTTAAAAAAACACACATTTTAATTAAATAATAACCAGTTATTTCTAGTACAAATAATAACTTATTTACTATATAATTACTAGATATTTTGTAAATTAATATATTTTTAGCTAATATGCTTAAATACATATATTACCTAGTAATTATATAGTAAATAAGTTATTATTTGTACTAGAAATAACTGGTTATTATTTAAGTTAGTTATAATTTGATTTTTTAACCAGTGTGGGTTGTCCGATGAAATTTAAATTTCTAAAGTTGTCTGTAATTTTTTTTAGAAATAAGAAACCTCTGTTCAGAGTTAAGCAAACCAAATAATTAGGACAGTAACATACTGCCAATTTTTAAATCAATGGACACTGGACAAATTGATATGTTTGGAGTCCGGTGAAATTCATCGGGCATAGGATGCTGCCCAACCCTGGTTCTCGTAATCGGCCGGACCAAATTTTGAATTTTATAAATTGTTATATATAAAATTTTTAAAAAAAAGCTGGCCGGTCTATTTATTATATGTGAGTGCGGGGGTGAAAACCTGGAAATAAAATTTAGCCCCCTAATGATCAGCGTTTTGTAATATACAGATGAAATTGTGGTAATTTCAGAAAACGCCGATCATCAATTTTTTAGGGGACTAAATTTTATTTCCGTTTTCACTCTCCCGCACTCATATTAATAATGCAAATAAAAAGGGTAATGTCCTTCTATACCCTATATAATATGTTAATTTTGATTATTTTTCATGTAATTTAGACCCTTTACTTTTACAAAATCATATGATAAATGACATTGCTTAATGTATTTAAACTTTTAATGATCTATTTCTACTATTTTATTTCAAAAGTTAAAAGCATACTGTGATATTGGCAATAAAAATCCAACATTTTTAAGATGCTATGGAATATCAAAAGATGACTCTTCCGGTAATTATATTCTCGTTCTAGACTATGCACCTATGGGCTCTTTACGTAAAAATCTTGGTTCTATAGCACAAATCGAATGGGAAAAAAAATTAACATTATTACATTGTATTGCTTCTGATCTTCAACTAATTCATTTTCAAGAACTTATTCACCGTGATTTGCATAGTGGCAATATTTTGCAAGATGATTTACATAATGCATATATTGCAGACTTGGGGCTTTCAATGTCAACGAGTATGGCATTAAAGGCGGAACATAGGGGAGTTTATGGGATTTTACCATATATAGCGCCGGAAATTTTGAACGGAGACCCATATACACAAGCGTCAGATATTTATTCGTTTGGTATGATTATGTGGGAAATTTTATATGGAGAATCAGTATTTAAGGGTCGAAAATTTGATATGGAACTTAAGAGGGAAATATTGCATAACGATTTACGACCACAATTTATTATTGACACTCCACAATGTTATATAAACCTAATTAAGAAATGTTGGGAAAAAGAACCAAGAAATCGTCCATCAGCAATAAAAATTTGTGAAACCTTTTTAAAGTGGAAAACTGATATTAATATTTTAGATGAATTAATTCAATCACAAAAGGTAATAAAAAAAGCATTGATAAATAATAAAAATGCACATGTACAAACATATTCTGATAATGAGTATAAAAGTAAATTTAATAGTACTAAATCATTTCCTGAAGGTAACTATCTTGACTTTTTAAAATAAATCTTTTCTTTCAAAACTATGACTAAATTTTTTCAATAATATTACGATAGAAAGCCGCAATATAAATTTGGATGATTATTCAAGTAAAGTATATATTATTTTATAATTAAATGTCAAAGCTATTACTAATTTTTTTATAATGTTAATTAGTTACAATAGAATACCCCAATTTAAATTTAGATGATGTTAATTTATAATTAAACGTTAAACCAGCTTTAAAATTATAGTTGGATATTTATTTCAGGTGATGATGATATTGATGAGCAGGAATAAGAACCAACAGTTGGAATTTTACCTAATCATAATCAATTACACAGATTTTTTTGTTCAATAATATAGCTATTTGCGTTGTTTACTTACTGAAATGAACGAATGGATTTCATCTCTCTTTATTTAGTTAAACCATATCGCTTTTAAATGTATAATCATTTATATTTATTTGTTATATCAGATGTCTACACAACCTTTTATTTTATTGTTTTTTTGATCATGTCTTACGCACAATTTTATAATTTCCCGGATTAAGCTTATAAATTTAATTTAAAAAGTCCATTTCATATATTAGCGATAAGAATTATATAGTATTTGGGTGCGATTTGTAAAAAAAATTTTAGTCATTTATTATATGGTTTATTATATATTTAAGAGAGACAAATTTCTGCATCAGCTGAAAGAATAACTATATGATGAAAATTTTAATTACTCATTGATATTTACACCTCTCTCCTTTAAAGCTTTTTCAGCCTCTAAATGACCATTTAGTGCTGCTAATCTTAAATATTTAATACCCAAATCCGTATTTAAATCAGCATGTTTCCCTTCTAAATGCATATTTCCCAAATGATATTGAGCCATAGCATCACCAGCATTAGCTGCTTTTGTCAGGTATTCGGTGAACCTTTCGCGATTAAACTTCACACCTGAATTTTTGTCGGTCATCAAAAGCGCATAGCGAAAGCAAGCATCTGTATTATTATCTTCAGCAGCTTCTTTAAATAAATCGGCAGCTTTCATTACATCTTTGTCTACAAAGATTCCGTCAGCTAGATAACGTGCTTTCCAAAATTTTGCAGTGCTATTTCCGAGCCCTGCATGATACTCAAAAATTTTCCAAGCAGTTTCGTAATCTTCACTTTTGTGACAAGCAACACCACCAACAAGAGGTCTCACAGATAATTGGTTAAATTTCGATCCATCTAAATCTAAATGGCCGTCGGGATAAAGAGAAGTTTGGTAATGTGGTTCATCACACTTCAATGATAAATTATAGAGCTTATTAAATATGTCAACAAGTAAAATTCTATCTTGTTGCTTTTCTTTCCAGGCTTAATAATAAATCGTCTTTTTAGAAATAATAACGTCAGTTATAAATTATTTAAATAAAATATTTTTACCTGCAATAATAATTTCTTTTAGACCATTCTGAATCCTTTGATGCTCTGGAGTAGTCAGCCCAAAATTGATCCTTTCGCGGATACCATTTGTAACATTTTTCTTTATTTGATTTATGTTCGAAATATCTTCATATGGGATTTTTTCGAATGTCAATTCCCAAAGTAACATTCCAAAACTACAATATTTTATAGGAGTAATATTAAGATGTTAAATCATCTCATTATTAAATTTAATGTTATCATGCACTTCACTATCATTATGTGTTTGCATAATAACTAATTCAAAGACATCAAATATGATGACTAAATTGACCTAAAAATTTCGCATTTAAAGTCATATCTATGCTTGGATATTTTTTCAGGTGACATCCAACGTACTATATCATCTTCATTTTTAATGAGTGTAGTATTATCATCTGTTTCACGAGAATATCTGAAATTTGCGATTTTTGGTTCTAGTCGCATAGTCATCTAGTAGAAACAAGAGGGATTATAATAGTAAATAAAAACATACGTATTTAAACAAACAAACCTCAAACAAATTAATATATTAACCATAATGTTTTCGCATCTAATGTCATGATGAAGAATATCACAACTATGTAAAAATACCAAACCTCGACAAATATCTAAAGCGATATGAACCTTTTCATCCCAATTAATATCATAATTCCTTAAGATTTCCCTTTTCTGCCCATTCAAACACCATCACTTGTCTATCATTCAAATTAGAGAGCCCATAAAATTTCAAAACATTTGGACACTCTTTTAACTTACCTAAAATTACAAGTTGTGCTTGAATTCTTTGATCTTCATCTTCGATCTTCATCTTCGATGTTTGTAGGTTTGCACTCAACTTCATTTCCTCGATATAATTTTCTAATTATAGATTTTCTAGTATGAAGGTTTGTTTCTTTATAAGGTGGATCATATAATTCTTTTGGGATAATTTTAATTGCTTTCAATTTAATCCTATCCATTTTCTTATTAATAGTCTGCACCTCGTTAATAACTGTGTTGATTTGCAACTGTACATCTGTGACGCCTCCAGAAATTGTTTTTAGGAACTAAAAAATACAAAATAGTAAGGTGATTCAGATATGTAAAAGAAAATGTTAAAGTATTCATAAATTTTACCTGTTCCATCTTTTTAATATCAGCATTGAGATTTTCTTGTTCTAATTTTCTTTGCTGTTCGTTAAAAATAGCTACTGTGAAATGTAAATCATCCATACTTCGATCAAACTCAGAAATTAATTTTTCATACGTTTCTTTAACCGAAGTTGCAGATACATATTTTTTCCAGCCTGTCAAATTTGAAACATCATTCATGAAATTTTTCATTTTTTTTAGTACTTCAACAAATAAGTAAAATGCTTTATAATCGCAAATTCTCGGTTGAAGCTCCAACATTTTAACATTAATCTCCGCAATTTTGACTCTGCGCAATAATGAATCACAAGTATTTTTATTATGTTTAGCATTTTCATAAATTTTTACTGCTTCAGATACAACTGTAAATGCATTGCTAATTAGAGAACCAAAATCCGTCATGATTATGCGCACCACCGTTAATTGAAACCGCATAAATACAATCAAGACGTAGCACAGTGATCCGTTTTTTGTTTAAATAAACTTCAAAATGAGACTTGGATGTTACCTGCTTTGTGTAACATAAAATAGTTATTTTACTAATTTCCCCAGCATGGTGGACAACCGTGGTAGTACAAGCTTTCCAAACTTGAAATTTGTGACTCAGGACCGATCTGTCCAATAAAAGTACGAGGAAGATCGATCACATGAAATTAAACAATTGGTCATGTACGTACACGTGATAATTGGCCAATCAATTTTTATAAAATTACAATAATATTCGAAAAATCTTTATTTACAAAATCGAAGATATCTCACGATCCAGCAGTCAGAATTTATTGAATCTTATACCATTCGATTCGTCTCATTGAGACGAATCGAATGGTATAAGATTTGTCAAATCCTACCAATTAGAACACGAGATATTAACAATATTACAACTCCTTATTTGCCTATACATTTCTTAATAAAATTCTATCTTTAAATACGTGCAAATTATTTCTACTTAATCTATTCAATAAATATAATTTATTTAATCGTTTCTAAATCGTTTCTATTTAAATTTTAAATTGTAATAGTTAAAATAATTAAAATTTAACTTATAAAATAACAAGTTCATTTGTAATATGTATAACTTTAGATTTAAAGCATATAAAAATAAGTTAACTTATCTTTTTACTTTGCTTTTCATATAAACACTATTGGCCATTTCATTAAGCATAATACACCAATGTGATACATTTCATTTAAAATAGTATATATTCTGATTTTTATAAATAACAATTATTGACAATAATCCTTATGTTTTAAGCTTTTAAATTCAAAAAACAGTAAATCAATATGACTTCTCATTATTAAAAACCAGCTGCTCAAAGCTATCCAATTGATAATTAAAAAATTGATAATATGCATATCATGTTTATTCCTCGCTATGTAAAGTCGATCAAAAAACGCCATCATGTAGTGCTACTACGCAAGTGTATAGCCTAGCATTATAGGCGAAATTATGTCTAGTAATCTGCCTTATTGTTTAGATAAAATGGTGCAATGTATATACAGAAACGTGACCATCAATTTCCTTAATTAGAAATAATAATAATCAATAGCCGTAATTTTATCAAAGATATTGACAAAAAGATCAAATGAATCTAATTTTTTTTTGTTAGAATTAAGTATTTTTGGTTATATAGAATCGAAAGCCATTGTGAAAGCAGTTCGAATTTAATTTTTTTTTGCCTAAAAATTCTAGTAAACTTGAACGACTTGAAAAAATACTGCTATCATATAACTAAAAAAAAATTTAAAATCAGCCAAAATAAGTTTTTATTAATATACAAACCTTCTATAAAGCTATAATTAAAATTATTCTCCTGGATTGTGTGGTTTTAAAAACATCTTGATTGTTAAATTTGGTCTGGTAGGTCATTCACAATTGATCTTCAAAATTGTCCAATTTTTTTTTGATTTTTGTTTACACAATCTAAATGATCTGCAAAGTTAAAAGATCGTATCGAAATATTGCCTAAAGTTTGATGTACTATTGCGAATGACCTACTAGGCCAAATTTAATTATCTTATCTTTTTTAGAATAGTAAGAACTGAAATAATAATTTTAATCGAGTATTAAAAAGGGTTATATAGAACAAAATATATATATTTTTGGTGTATTTAAATTCTATTAATTACATGATTTTTTTTGTTTTCTCTACTCATTTCGCAAAGTGCTAACTGATAAATCCTGATTTATTTTTTTTATTTAAATGAAATAATATAATCTTGAAAGAAACAATGCAAGCTGTAGTGTTTGCATATACACATGCATATACTCTATATATATGTATAATGAATTTGTTTATTTCTTCAACTTAAGCATACACCCTTTTTAAAAAACTTTTTATCATCGCAATTATTCAATTTATTATAGCCCAAATCAAACATACTCAAATTGCCCTAACTGTTAACAAAAAAATAATGATCTTATCTGTTCATTCTTATCTTCAAAAAAATATACCCAAATGACAGACAAATGAAGCCACCAATCTTAGTAAGGAAGTTTCCTTGGCAACAGGAGTTGGTGAAGCATGTAGTTGCTGAATTTAATGAGACTAAAAAGATTGCACTATCAAAACAAGGTCATCAGGATCCCAAAGATTTTTAAGCAGAATATGTAAATAAAATCCATGATCTAATTAATTCTGCAGGTAAAAGTGGTCTTCCTCTTTCCCTTAGAGCTCTTGTCATAGAATTATCTGAATCAGGCTTTATAATTTCAAAAGAACAACTTTTACATCACTTAAAAAAGCTTGGATATTATTATGGCAAGGGAGAGCAACAAAATATTCTTCATAAAATTCCTCAAAATATTGCATATCAGGCATGATATCTTCATTGGTGATTTGAAAATTTCCAAGGAAAAAATAACATACCAACTCTTCCAGAAGTTTTTCTTGATGAATCATATTGCTATTTGCACCACAATTGTAAATTGACCTGGGTTCCAAAAGATGGTATGGTTTATGAAAGTAAAAGGAGTTATTTGTTAGTTATTTTTGAAGCAATTATAATTTTCTGTAATGGAAATACCAACCAGGTAAAGGGAGAGATTGTTTGTGAATCTATTCATATTTGGGACCCTACTGCAAAACCACCAACTGGAAAGAGAAAAAAAAAAAAGGATGTAGAAGCATAGAAGACAGTTCTAGATAAGGTGAAAATGGCTGGTATTGTTCCAGATAAAGTGGATTATCATGGAAATTTTAATTCAGAGGTGTTTGAAAAAATTTTTAAGAGGCTTTGTGAAAATCTTGCTATTAATTATGGACCATGTGTTATTTATATAGATAGATCAAGATATTACAAACGTTATGCCAAAGCTGCACCAACCTCTAATTAGACAAAACCTGCAATAAAAGAGTGGTTAGAAGCCCACGGTATTGAATCTGATACAGATATAACAAAAGCAAAATTATATGAATTGGTGAAAAAAAAGAAACCATCTATTTCTTTTGCCACTATCACTATTGCAAAGGATTCTAATCACTGACTACTTTTTACACCCATACCATTGTGAACTGCAACTAATTGAATTGGTATGGGGAGCTGTAAAAAATAAAGTTGCAAGAGAACAACAGTATCCAAATATTCTTTCTCTTCGAAATTCCTTACTTCATTCTTTTCATGAGGAAATCAAAACAGAGATTGTGGTTTTGTGTTGAAGAAAATGTTTGGATAAAGCAAGAGATTATTGGGAAACAATTGAAGATGAAATAAATGATGAGAGTGATGATAGTGATAATGAAAGTTTGGATCTTTGCTCAGGGGATGAAAATTTTGATGATTTTCGCTCAGAGGATGAAGATTTTGATGATCATCCATAGTTCGTGCGGTGAAATCGCTATATATAAAAGTTTTTTTTTATTATATAAATCATTATTTTTGTAATAAATAAAAATATTTCTGGAAATATTTGCATGTATATTCCAATTTTCATAAAAATTGGTAAACTTTTTACTAATATGTTTTTTAGTTTAGTTGCGAATCAAAAAAATTTTTACGATTTTAAAAAAATTTTAATAAAAGTTTAATCCCAAATATTAAAAGATTCTAGTTGTTTACCTTACTTAAATCATTAAGCAAAGTGTTCTCTATAGTCGAAAATATGTAGTATAAAATTTTGATTAAGATATATAAAATATTTTATCATTAACTTTCGAATTTAATTCGATGAACCTTTATCGAAATTTTTATTCTTTATAATTTTGTAAATTGATAAAATAGAGTATATAGCCAGTTCGTAGTATATATATATATGACTTCATATTAATATTTTTTTTTTCCCATAAGTATGGCTTTCTTTTTACACTAATTAATTAGAGATTAATTATAAATTTTATTAATATACAATGTGATAACCATTTTTCAAAATGATTCAATGCTTTTAACATCCCTTTTTCTAAATTTTCAAATAGTGTTCCAAACTCTTCACTATTTAAGACATCTTATACTTCTAGCAATTCACTAGCGAAGAACATCTCGTAATTTTTAGCCACTTCCTGAAAAAATTCAAGCCACTCATAAACTTTATCGGGCATTTCGTGGGCCCGACGACCTGGAGGTAGTGTAACAAGCTGACTATTTTGGTAAATACGTGGAACCTTGTCCTGCCCAATTATAAACTGCATTAATGGCTCGTAGAAGTGTTCAGCAAAGTTTATTAAACATTTTATTTGAACATTTAGTTTCGAATCAAAAAGCCAAGAATGAAATAAACGCCAATCATTAATATATTGTTTTGGGGCATTGTGTTTCTCCATTTCACCAATAAACCAATAAGCAAATTTAATATGAGCTGCTCGTCGATCTAGGTATTGTTTTGCTGTTCGTAATTCATAACCCCAACGTGTACGAAGTGGCAACTGGTATTGGTTATAATGAAACCCTAGCAACCCATCGTATAGATTTCTAATTATTTGTGAATTTATGTTTAATGGTTTGTCTTTGTCACTAGAATCGTAACCGTCATGTAATTTCCACGCCAAATATAACAAATTATATAAATGTGGTTTTCTTGAAAACCCTGTAGTATTAGAAAGCATACCAAATGCTTCTTGTTCAAAGTGGTTCATTATTATTTGGATAATATGAAGCCCGCAGCCAATCCGCAATGAATTTACATTTGCTTTTTTATTAAATAAGATCACTGCTCCTTTCTTATCTCCTGACATGTATGAAGTATTGTCTGTCGTCCATATTGTGCACTTTTTAATATCTATATTACATTCTTTAATATGGGTTATTACAGCATCAGACACAGTATTTGCATTGCATTTTGTAACATGTTGTAAATGAGCGATTATTACACTAGGTAATTGATCTTTCTCATTCCAATATTGGTAACAAATTACCAAGTTCTTTATTTGCCCTCGGGTTGATTCATCAACCATTATTCCAAATGCAGGAGC